GGCTGGTCCCTGTGCAGGGAGGGACCTGAGGTCTCACCCCAGTGGGGACAGCAGCTGTGACAACACAGGGAGGGGATACAGGGAGGGGCTCCCCCACGGAGCCCGCTGTTCTGGGTGAACCCCAGGGGTGAGTGTGTGAGGCCTGCACAGAGTGACAGGTGGGGACTCAGCAGAGGCCCCTTCCCGGGGGAGGGGAGAGAACAGGGCGGTGCTGAGCCTGGTGGGGGTGTCAAAGGTATCCCAGAGGATACCGGGTAAGTTAACATTTGCAAAATCCAGAGATGCATAAATATTACATATTTTTCTTTGTTTCCTTGTCTCATTAAAGCAACTACTAGACTTGTTGGCAGCAAGAAAGTTAAGGGAAGAGTCCTTAGGATAACTCTCATGTCCAACCCTTACTGACCCTCTTGGCCACACCTGAGACACTTCCTGGCCTCCGTCCTCGGAGGCCCAGAATGTTCTGCTCCGCACACGTCACTACTGTGAGGGCTCAGATAGCCCAAAGGGCCACTCTCCTCCCGTAGTCAGGTGCACAGCATGCACCAAAACCAAGGGGCAGGAAGGATCTAATGCACCTCTAGCTTTGGACTCCAGAGCCCACCACCAAGGAGATGCCTCCATTTTCCAGAGGAGGTCTGACATCACCAGTGGGTGCTGTAGCCCCACTCCATGTTCCTAGGTCCAGCTGTTCGCTCTCATCCTAACACTCACCACAGGAGGCCCCGATGAAGGCGAAGCAGGGGAGAAGCCAGAGGAAAGCCATGGCGCTGCGGTCAGGGACTGTGGGGCAGCAGCTCTGGGCCCTTTTACATCCCCTGGGAGCCCTAAGTCCCGCCCAGTTCCTCTGGGCCTCCCTGACCTGAGGGTCATCCTCCCCATGGTCAAACTTGTCCTGGACTGGCTCAGACCCGGTCACCCCAGGACCAGGGCAAAGGGCAGCCACCTGGCTCACAATCACCCATCAGCCCGGCAACCCCTGGGGGAAGCTCCCAGCTGTGGGCCCCAGAGGCCCTGGCATCATCATGAGGGTGGCAAAGACTCATCTAAGGGACCCTCACCCAGGTGTCTGGAGCACCCAGAGCTCAGCACCCAGCACTCAATTGCACAACAGCCCCCAAAGCTCAGGACCCCAGGCTGCCTCTCTACCTGCTCAGGGAAACTCCCTGAGGCCAGAGACACAGCAGGCCCAGCTGTGGGCCCCGGGAAAGGGCCCGGAACTGCCCAGACACGCAGCTCTGTACCTCACGGGCTTAGCCACACTCCCTCTTTCTTGAACATTCACCTTTTATGACCCGTCCTTATAAAAACTTTCCTTGTTTTTAAATGTGGATTGAAACTCATCATAAATGGCCCACAAGAACCCAGAAAGCTCAAGGCTGATGTCAGGACAAGGAGGGGAGACAGGAGGCCAGAAGTGGGGGGATGGCCAGCCCCCTCTGCCACCCCCCTTCCTAGGTGGGGCCACAGGCCCTCAGCCGGCCGGAGTCCTCTTATGTACCTGCTGGTGTTTTTACGAGTCTGCAGGCAGGAAGTCTGGACAGGGCATTTGGCTAATTTGTGTCCTTTTTAATACTTTCCGCAGCTCTGATTCCTAGTTGACTGCTGAGTTCTAGACCTGTTTATTTTTAGTTTTCACTGTTAATTCACTTTTTTTGTTGGAGTCCCCTCTCCTCAGTGGAGGAGTCTGACTAGGGAGGAGTCTCCTGGGGCCCAGGCCCCATCTGTGGGGAAGGCCAACTCTACCCCACTTCACAGGACAGAGATGTGAAGCCAGCAGTGTGTGCAATGTGGTTCTGCAGCTTTGACAAGTAGCGTTATGAGACTATGAAAAGGAGTTAAACATCTCTGTCTTAAAAGATGGATGCTAGGGAACTGCTACCCGGGATTAGGGTTAGAATTTCCACGTGGCTTAGCTGAAACTCACTGTTAACTACCACAGAGACTTCATTTGCAGTCAATGTTGGGAATCGCATGAAGAGCCCAGAAACCCCAAGACCTCCCCGATCAGGGCGCCTGGTGCCAGCAGACTCCTGGAGCAGTGAGGACCCAGCCCTGGGCAGGGAAGACCCTCCAGGGCCAGGCCTCTGTCTGAAGGTCACAGATCCTTAGTTAACTATAATTGTCCGGTGGTCGGAGTGGACAGGTGACCCTCTGCTCTCCCAGGGTTCAGCTCCAGACTCAGGTGCTCAGATTGAGTTTGTCACTAAAAGTGACGTTTTACCCTCACAGGCCCTGTCCTTGCAAGTCCCCTGATTCTCAACAGATGTCATACAATTAGCCCCTGATATAGAGGCTCCCAGGACAGACACCTGTTATGAGCTGCGTGCCCTAAACAGGGCCCCGGACCTGCACAATAAAGTCAAGGCCAGCAGAGCCTGAGTGTGAGCGGCTGGCAGTCTGCTGTCCAGATGCAGAATCAGACCGGATTGCAAAAATAGTTTCACCACAAACTGCTCAAGTATTTTCTGTCTGCTTACTTTCCTTCCTGCCCTTCTATGCCCACCCTTATGTTTTAACTTCATCAAGTTAGGGCGTACTCCACTGTTTTGCAGCAATCAGGTGGGGGGCAGTTGGGGGTGGAGTTTAGTTTGGGGGTGTTAGCTTGGGAGGAGGACCAAGAGGCTCCCAGGGCTACCAGAGATCAGGGAATCTTTTCTCAATCTCTTGGGGTCTCCCTCGCATTATCTTCTGGTCTCTCTGCAGCCATTTGTCCTCTTGTTACAGGACAATGTGAATTGGGTGGCCTGACTGTGGGTCCTCACCCATGTGCTTAAAGGGACTCATAATAAGGTTCAACTTCAGGCACATATAACAAGGTTAATAATGGATTTATGTACAAGAAAAAGGGAAATGAATAACTGGGGGGGGAAGAGAGGGAGATAAGTTGGTGAATGTGTCCTACCGGTTCCACAGGGAACCCCAATAGCACACTGAGAGCCAGCAAAAAGTCACAAGACAAGAGAGCCCCTAAGGCCCACGTGTCTGGTTTTATGTCAAATCTGGCTACTTAACTCCACTCTCAGGCCCCAGCAACCCCCCCTTTGGTGATGCTGGGATTTGTAGTTCCAGTGTCTGGAGCGGGGGTGCAGTTCACAAAACCCGTATCTGTAGAGCTCATTCAGGACATCCTTTGCCCCTAACACTCACAGCTGTTCCACCACAGACTCATCCTCCACCCTTAACGCCTCAGCCTCCAGGCTCAGGTTGCACACTTACCCACAGCCCCACCACACTTCAGTTGGCTACCATCAGGCATGTGTACCCCAAGTCCACACTCCCAAGTGCCTACTGCCTTCAAGACCACCAGTGACAAACACAAATGTTAGTGATCAAAGCCTGATCAATTCACTTACCCTACACCCACCAACTGGGTCCTTACCCCCAAAACCCAATAACAGAAACCCAGAGGCACCTAATGGACCCGATCCACACCCCCTCACTTAAGTCCCAGCCTTACTCTGTCCCCTCAATCCTGCGAGGAATAAACTTGCTGTGTTTCTCATTTCCTGGTGGTTCTTGTTGGAGGAGAGTTTCCGTCCTCACAAGAAATCTCAAGGGCTGCTCCTACCGTAGAATGGGTCCTGAAAGAGATCTAGAGGGATGTGGCGGGGTAACAGGAGTCCCAGGTAGACTCCCAGACCAGAGAAACACAAACAAGAACACAGAAAAAGTTGAAATACTTATAAATGAGAAACACTATAAATTATGGATAAAGAGGTAATGAAAAGGGAAACTAGAATACAGCTTGAAGTGTCAAAATGTGTAGGAAACTGTGACCTCAGGAAGGAAAGTGATAGACACCCATACTTTCCTTGGAAAATGTTTAAAATAACAGCCTGATTCTGCCTTCAAAGGCCAGAAGGGCAAGAAGACAACAAGGAGCTAACTAATGAAACACAGGAGCAGAGCAGGTCAAGTCCATGACATATAAACCAAAAAGACACCCCAGACTTGGGTGCCCAGGGTGCAGGCTGTGGGCTTGGCAGCAAGCAGGTAAACATCTCCCCTGCCCACCTAAATCCTTGGCTAACACTGTCCTACCTTCCAGAATGTTCCACGCCAGAGCCCCTTGTCCTCACATCCTCATAGCTGTTTTGATGTATCCAGGCAACCATGGGCTGCTTCTCTGACTGAAGAGTTGTGTTAGGTTATTACCAAACCCCGGTGTCCATAAATAAAGGACACATCATCCTTAAGCACTCCCCAGAGGCCCCTCCACCCAGGGGAGACCTAGCTGCTACATCCTCAAGCAGGCAAGGAATTCTGACTCCAGCTCTGAGACTTTCAACGTTTTCACTCAACAGGAATCATCTGGATGATTTGTGAAACCAGCCCTGAGCCTCCTCTTAACTGATTCTTCATGGATTTCTCATGGGTAGAATTGTGCCACATTCTCCCACAAAATGTCAAAAATGACAAGACCCATGACCTTCCCTAGAAAGAGCAGTCAGGCTTCCCACGGGCCAGAGGCACGGACACAAGGACCAGGCTGATCACAGTACACAGGAGTCTGAGCCAGGGAGATTCAGGGGGATAAGGGAGACACATGTCAGGGCGCTCTGGGGATGAGAGGGTTCCATTTAGACATGGGGAGAGCAAAAGGTTTTACCTGCTATTAGTAACTATATAGGTGATGATGTTGGTGTATTAACCTCACTCTCCTGTATTACAAAGGATAAAACAATAATTATGGCATATTCTAATTCTGTCATTCTGTGTGTCCTTGAGAGTATGGTTTTGTGATGTGGAATTATACATGCCAGTGTATTTTCAATTAGATAAAGCACCCTTCAGTGTTAGAAAAGTGTAAATATCACTATGAACTCATGAGGTGTTCAACCATAAAGATTATTTATACATTAAATGCCTCTTGGTTCTCTCCACTGAAAAGGTCTAGAAACAATGAGCAAAATACAGCATTTATGAACATCCCCTACACTCAGATTGTGGACTTGCAATTCCTTCTCCAACTCTAAGAACGCAGGGCATTTCAGAGAAATAGCTGATTAAGGACCCCCTGGGCATCATATGAGACCAGAGAGCAAGGAAGCTTGGAACCCAAGAGGCCATGTCAAATGTTCCAAAGCCAACTAGAGCACCCCCACTGGCCACAGGGGGGAATTTCAGCTTCGTGAAGAAGAATGTTTATCGTGGATTGAAACACACTTTGATCCTTCAGTTTATAATGATTCTGAAAAACAGCATCAAAAATGATTTTGCCTATTTAAATATTTAAAGGAAACAAGTTTATTATCTTAAAAATTGATAAGGAGAGTGTGTGGACAGAGTGAGATTCCCATGCATGTTCTACACACTGTACAGGGTCACTGAGTGACAGGTGGGGACACACCTCTGTGAAAAGCTGCCTGGTAACAAAGGACAAAGAGACATTAAGTGGGTGATCACCATTTACATTCCCAGTGAGAATTTACAATTCTGACAAAAATGATGGTCCAGCCCTCAGGCCTCAAATCTGTGATGCTCACGGAGACCAGCCCTGCACCCCCAGGCAGGAGCCGGCCCCTGCAGCCTGTGAGGGACTGAGCAGGAGCCTCATCAGGTCTCATGTCCAGCCACCAAGTCACAGAAAATAGGAAGACCTGAGAGACAGTGGTTCTACCTCTGGGACTGAAAGGAAGATATTCCCAGTTCTCAGCTCAGAGCCATTGTGCAGGGCCTGGGTAGAGGCAGGGAAGGGAGGGGACTGTGTGGATGGTCTGGGGTGGGAGTGCAGGGGATCAAGGAAGAGGTGCCTGGAACATGTGGGGAGGGACGAGCCAGCCTGGGGGGCCTCTTGATCCCAAGGTCCATGCTGCTGGGAGGATTCATGGCCTGGCCTGGAGCACTCCTGCCTTCCACAGAGCTCCTTGGGACAACCCAGCAGTCAAAGGCTGAGAAATGGGCAGATGACCTGGACTGTACCCCAGGGGCCCCCTGGGCAGAGAGGACCAGACCCAAAGGCCTCAGCTCCTGACAAACAGGGGCTCTGGGCTCTGAGCTGGAAAGGGAGGGGCACGCCGCCCCCTGGTGGGGGACAGGGGCACTGCAGCCACCGCCCCAGTCACAGACACACAATCAGTCAGGGCTCTGTACAGGGGCTTTTATTGGGGGTAAAGGGTGCTGCAGTGGGAGTTCAGAGCTCAGTTCTGAGCTACAGTATTATCAATCCATTGTTTGTAATGCGATACATTGATGGCCACCATAGGAGTGTAGAGGGGGGATGGAGAAAAGATATAGGTCATGATGCCCACCAGGATCCAGTCATCATTCTTCTTGCAGACCAGGGGTCCACCAACATCACCCTGTGGGAGACGAAGAGACCATTAGACAAGGCTTCGAGTGGAGGCAGAACCCTGATGTGCCCCAATGCAGCCCAGTCACGTGGGCCCAGCAACTCCAGCAGGGCCTTGTATTCAAATTGAAAAATTCCGTTTTCAACATCACCCAGCCCAGTCCCCTGCTATGGGGCATAGGGAAAAGGTGAGAGTTAAACCTGTGTCCTGTAAATCGCTGCAAATACCTGGCCCAGAAGCAGCTACAACACTAAGCCTTACGGACAGCACCCCCATGCTCGGCAGCGCTGGCGAGCGTTTGTCCTGGTCCCGGCTTCTCAGGACATGATCAAGAAAGGAGGTAACAGGATCTGGGGAAAGGGATGGCCCCCAGCTGACGGGGGGCACTCTGAGGGGTCAGGTGAGAGAACACATACTTTCCAGCTGGCGACGCCGTTGGCCCCCACACAGACCATGTCGCTGGTCATCTGGCTGCCCCAGAACCTCAGGCACTCCGCGTTATCCAGGATGGGCACGGTGGCCTCCTGCAGCTTGTCAGGCCTCCTTCTGCCTATAGCGACAGAGGGGGCAGGAGAGTGAAGACTGTCGCCCTCTGAGCCCACCCTGGGTGCAGCAGACCTCAGACACTGAGTACAATCATCCCTGACCCCCTACACACCACCACCAGGCTGCAAACCGACACCCCATTATTAACACTTGGAAACCTCAAAGGGACGTGTTCCTCCTGATTTCACCTCAGGTGGGGCAACATAGCTCCAAGCACAGGGGAGGCCACAAGCCTGCTGCCTGCCTGGTGTGGCCGGGGCACTGCCAGCCCAGGAGTCGGGGCCCAGGAGCAGCATCTTCTCCCCAGGGCAGGGCACTGACATCCTAAGGCCAGGAGACCCCACTCTGGGGGTGACAGGGAGCCTTCCCCTTGCTCCTTGCTGATAGCTGCTGTCCTGTGGAAGGGCCAGCCAGGTAGCAGGGCCTGGGCAGGATGCAGGCAGAGCCCCAGGGAGGGGACACTGGGCTGGAATCTTGGGGCCTGAACAAGTCGTGGTGGCCCAAGCCCACCCAGGTCTGGATGGAAGTTGTTCCTGCCCACTCCGGCTTGGGGCAAGTCCTCTGGTGAGGGTCCCACCACTGCCTGCTGGGGGTCGTGGGGCAGGGCCTGCTGGCACTGTGCTGCGTCTACAGACACTGACCACTCAAGCCATCCCGGGCCTCCTGCCCACCCATGTTGGGTGGGTTTTCATAACAGGTTCTAGTCAAGAAACAGACACACGTGGGAGTTTGGATTTGGGCCAAACCATCACCAGAGCCACCCGCATCCCACCTGCTGTTCCGGCAGCCCAAGCCCGAACCCGCATCGTGAGTGGTAAGACTCGGCCACTCACCTTCCAGGCGGGTGCGCCCCCAGCCCATAATTTTGCACTGGGCACCAACAGAGAACGTGTCGCCAGCACTGGGCAGAGCAATGGGGGACACCGTGCGCTGCAAATTAACCTGGGTCATGAGCCTTAGCAGGGCGAAGTTACCATAGAAAGTGCTGATGTTGAACTCGGGGTACCTAAAGACCTGGGGGTGGGGCCAGGAGGAGGACATGAGACAGATGAGTTCCGGAAGGCCCCTTTGGAGGGGAGACCCACACAGCAACAGCGGCCTATGCTGCTGCCACCCCTGCCCTGGATCTGTCCCCGCTCCTGCCCCGGAACCTTCATGGGGCCTCCGGGACTGCCCAGCAGGGCTGACGTACCTTGCTGATCTGGACGTACTGGACTTTGTTGCCATAGTTGCGTCGGTCATGCTGCCCAGCCACAACCCAGTCGTAGATCCTAGAGAGAAGAGCGGGGTAGGGCTTATGCACCAGACCACTCCCTGCTTGTCCCGGGCGCTCCAGGGCCTCACCTGATGTTGCAGTATGCAGCGGTGATCACCCATTTCCGGTTGATCAGGGAGCCCCCACAGATGAGCCTTCCAGAGGAGTCCTTTGGAATAATGGCATCAGGATTGACATTCCCAAACACCAATCTCAGTAGCAGCCCCCCACCTCAAGAGCAGGTAACAGCACAAACCACTCAGGTGTGCACTCCCCTACCTCCACGGTCACGTGCCAGGGAGAGGAGCCAGCGTCCTTCCCGTTGATGATCCTGGGTGAAATGCTCAGCTCCGGGTCACTGGCAGGGGCCCCAGAGCCTGGGGTCACAGGGGAGGGGGGAGGGGGAGGTCCAGTGAGTCTGCAGAAGCCTGCTGCACCCTCAGCCAGCACAGCACCACCCACACTCCCTCCTGGCACCCAGCACCTAGACTGGAAGACACACCCCTGCCTGCTGGCCTGTCACCCCCAGGGATGCAGAGGGACAGGCGGCTCCATCCGGGTCCCCCTGCAGACACAGGCTGAGGAATCCAGGACCCTGTGCACCCCGCCAACCCCTGCTGGAGACCTCAGCCCCTCTGACTCTCCCAGCCTCATTTTCCCCAGGAAATGAGGAGCAAACACAGCTATCTCACCAAGGAATGCTCACCAAGGAGATGGGTATGGGCAGGTTTGGAATTTAAAGCAGAGCAGCCCAAGTAAAGAGACGTCCCCTGTCTAACACTTGCCTGCTGGGATAGCACATGGAATTAATTTACCATCCTACATCTTTATTCCAGAATTCAGAAAGCCTTCATTGTATAAGTTGGGTTATTAATTAATTTAAAACATAGGATCTTGATCCAGATCATAAAGAGACACATCAGAGAAACAGAAAACAAGTGATATGAATTTTTCAGAAAAACAAGGACACAGGCTCCTTGACATGTGCAGACCCGTCTGCTGGGTCAGGACACCGGATCCTCAGCTGCCCCAGGGCTGTGAGGGGAAGAAAGGGGGGCAGGGCCAGCCACTCCCACAGCCAGGGCATCCCCAGGGTCCCCCAGGCCTTGCTCCAGGCAGCACTTGCCCCTGCTGGGG